TTTTTTTTTTAAATGTGGAAATTAACCTTTTCAGATAGTAAACTTTATCATGCAAAAAACGATTTTCAAATCGGAGCATTCTGTGCGAAGTTATATTATTAAATACATATTTTGGGATTTTATTTAATAAGATGTATAGAAGAAGAAGATATACATATGTACGTATGTATCTTACCTCTACTCGCCGATGTCACCTTGTCACGCAGAACATTTAGTATATGAACTCGCCCGTACTGTTCAAACATTTGTCGCAACTGCAATTCGTCCCACGATTTGGGAATTTGTCCAACAAACATCTTTATATTATCCGGATCCGGCTGATCGATTTCGAATTCATTACTGGGATCACCATTTGTGTTGTCAACAGTAATGCTCTTCCGGTTGGTTTTATTGGAAAGGCCCAATACATTTGAGCAATTATCTTCAACAGAATCAAAGTTAGCTTCAGCAGAGCGGTTAGTATTGTTGGCTTTAAGCAGAGCTTCGTTAATATCTCCAACTTCGGACATGTTTTCACTATAAAGAAAGAGAAAAAATATATATTAAATTTTTAGTAGCTATTTTTTCTGTGTACATGAAGTAATTATATCATCAGATTTTGAATATACCAAAAAACTGCGACGCATTTTTTAACTGCCTTTGAAACGTTGGGAAAATCTTTTTTATTCATACGAATCGTTGCAAAAGTTCTGTTTTTTTTATTTTGTGTTTCTAGCAGTAGACGCAATTTTGCAACGTTCCAAATAAATAAAAAAAAAAAATTTTCCGTACGTTTCAAAGGCAGTTAAAAAATGCGTATAATTTTCGTCACGAAATTGATATCATAAATTTTGTGTTTCTATTTAGTTCAGCTTTCGTCACTCGAAAATTTTACCTCAAAGAGGTGTTTTATTTGATATCAATTATTTTGGGGTAGCAAATTTAAAATCGACCAAAGTACAAACAATAATCTAAATGTTTTATTTTTCTTGCTAAAAATATTATCTAAATCTAAATTATGTATTCAAAGCGAAGTGTCCATTGAAACATATAATTTTTCGTATACGGAATAAAGCAAAAAGAATGATCATATCCTCTGTATTCGAAAAAAATTAAAATTAAAAGAAAATTATGACAAATGACAAAAACTTATCAACTTGGTACTAACTTTGGATACAATAAACAACTGTATTCGTCTGATTGTCTTGTAGTTTATTTTTGTTAAGATTTCTACTGGGTGTGGGGCGCACACATGTGTTTTTTTTAACAAGTTTTACTTCTATCACGTGTACGATGTTGCACTCGTGCTATTAAACTAATGCTTTTTTTCAAGTAGTTTTGCTCAGTGACAATTTCTACATTATATGTAATGGGTGAACTAAATGCATTCATACATACATATTTATGTACAACTGTTGGTAATATAGTACGCGTCTTCCCAGGTAGGTTAAGTGCGTGTGATAAACCCATGTAGCACAGTTAAATACTGTGTACATACCTACAATTAAAATGGTGAAAAATATTACAATTTCGGCATGTGACTGGAAAAAAACTCTAAAATACACACAAATTGTGGTTTCCAAGACATGTACGAAGTGATTAGCACAGTCGCATCCTTCAACTTGTCAAATCGCGGGAAATTTCCCGATTTGCAGAGAATTTCGATTTGAGTGGCAATCGGGGAATGGGAACTTTTTTCGGGGCACTGAGTATGTTATTTTTATATCTTAAAGTAACCAAATTAGACGAGTATGTTATTTTTATATCTTAAAGTAACCAAATTAGACGAGTATGTTATTTTTTAACCATTTGACCCTTTTTGGAGCGACATTTTTTCAATTTGAATCGTAATATCACCACAACAAGAGTTTTTCCAGATATAAGCTATATACTAGATGAGAGCTAAAGGTTCTGGGCTAGATTTATGGAAACTAAGAATAAAATCGACTGACCAGTTTGTGAGAAAATGCCCGAAATTTTTATTTTCAGCAGACCGACTTTTAGTTTTCAGGCGACGTTATGACATATTTATAATTTATAAACAAAAAAGATAGCGTTAGATAGCTTGTTTGAAGACCCTTCCACTGATATCCACATCAAGGACATGGACTGAGCAATGCGGCCTCAGTGGTTGTTTAAAAAATTGCCTTTTTTCGAATTTCAGGCAGCAGCCACGCCCACACAGCAATACGAATCAAAACATCCTGGAACAAAACCTTCTTAGTTTTTTATGTGCTTTAATTCCTGAAAGTTTGAAAAATATTAAATGATGGTACGTACAGACGCCACATACATACCAAAGCATCTCGTAGTGGAGACACGAACCAAAACACATTTACCTCTATATCTTTCCAACTAGTGGCCGGAACTTAATACATAAGGTATCGTTTGAAAGGTATTGGCCTATAGAATAACACTAAATATGTTGGGTGTACCCACATGCCCCCTTAAACCGGCAAAAGCAAAAAAACGTTTTTTGTTTCGCTACACTTTAGCCTAATTTTTAAGAATCCGATTAATCGTTTGTGAAGCTTGAATACATTTTCTGGACAGACTCCGCAAGACCTTTCCAACGATATCTCAAACATGTCGATTGGATGTCGGGATAAAAACTTCCAAATCTCGTGTATGTATAAGCGAGTCATTTCAGCATGCTACTGTGGCTGCTTTCGTCACTCGCGCGCACTGACGTGCGCTGTGATATCACGGTACCCTGGAAACAATTTCAACCCTCAAGTTGCTTCCCTTCGCCGATTCCTGTCGCTACTATTTCGGGGGACCTCACTGAACATTTCCAAAAAAGAGCAAAATCTGTCGGGCGCTTTTTTCTATAGTAACTTTTACTGATTCAAAAATTACACAGGCCAACAAAAAGTAGAAGAAATGTTGTTTCCTAAATTTTTAAAGCTGTTTCTGATGCTTCTTCACTTGTTTGTGCTGATTACGAATCCTTAAGTATAAAGTTTCCATCAGCTTTATATTTTGAGAAAAACGTGTTCAAAGTATCAAAAAATCGCGGTTTTTGTAATATTTGAGAAGTTCTAGCAAAAAAACAAAAAGTGATAGAACCTTCCAGTTGGACTTTAATTAAGGCTAGAACTCTCAACTACTATCCCTGAAAATACCATTTATGCACCTTGACTTGGTGGTCACTTATAGTAATTTTTTTAATTAGCAAAAACTGATTTTGCCGAAGTTTATTTTTCAATAAAAGACTATAAGTGACCATCAAGGTTCACAAATTATATTTTCAGGGATAGTAGTCGAGAGTTCGAGCTTTAATTTAAGCCCAAGTAGAAGGTTCTAACACCTTTTGTTTTTGTGCTAGAGTTTCTCAAATATTGCAAAAAACGTTTTTCTCAAAATCTAAAGCTGATGGAAACTTTATACTAACAGATTCGTAATCGGCACAAAAAAGTCTATCAAATACAGCTTTAACATCTTAGGAAACAAAATTTGTTCCAATTTTTGTAGGCCTGCGTAATATTTGAATTAGTAAAAGTTACCATAGAAAAAAGCGCCCGACGGATTTTGCTTTGCCCCGAATTAGTAGCAACAGGAATCAGCGAAGGGAAGCAACTTAAGGGTTGAAATTGTTTCCAGGTGTAGTTGATTCCAAAGATATTTTTTTTTTAAATATTTTTATTAAAAGTTAACAAAACTTAATTTGTTTTTATATTGTTAGCAATTCGAGTAAAGTTTGAATAATAATGAAAATTTTCTGTTTGATTGACGAACCACAAAAATCACATAAATCCAAAATTTCCAAAATTACAAAGTTGAAATGAACACAGTACAATAAAAGGTAATAACACAAATACAAACCCTACAATACTCCCCCTTCTAGAGAATTAATGTTATATAAATTAAAAGTAACTCGTTTCTTATTTGATGTTGTGTTATTCATTGTATTAGTGTTTGTTTCTGGTATTAGTTCTGTTTCAATGATTGCCGGTTATAGTGTGTCTATCGGAATTGTTTTAACCTACTTCAAGTTTGAGATATTTTTTGTTTTTTTCAACAACCTTATAAGGTCCTTCGTATGGTTGTTGCAATGATCTTTTATTAATAACACGCATAAAAACAAATTTACAAGTCTCCAAATCCTTTGGTATATATACACCAGTATCAGAATTTTGATTATGCCTTAAATTTGATTTAACATTTTTAAAATGTTCCCGTAAATTACCTAAAACTTCAATTGGGGAAAATTTTTCTTCAGATGGAACAACAAGTTCACCGGGTAGGCGTAAATTTTGCCCAAAAACCATCTCAGATGATGTGGCTGAAATACTTTCTTTATACATCGATCGTAAACCAAGAAGTATTATCGGCAGCTCATCATACCAATTGTTGATTCCATTTCTAGCCATTATCGTAGCTTTTAACTGCCTGTGAAACCGTTCTACCATACCATTCCCTTGAGGATGATATGCAGAAGTTGTAACGTGATGACTACCAAGCAATTTTGTTAGTTCCGAAAACAATTTTGACATAAACTGAGTACCCTGATCTGTAGTGATTTTTAACGGTACCCCAAAACGTGAAACATATTCTCTAAAAAATTTATTTGCAACCACTGCCGCTGAAATGTCCTTTAATGCATATGCCTCGGGCCAACGCGTGAACCTGTCAACTATTGTAAAAATGTAACGATGTCCTTTCGATACAGGAAGAGGTCCAACAATATCTAAATGAATATGATCAAATCTACTTTTGGGAATCGGAATTTTAATTACTGGAGATTTTGTGTGACGATTAACCTTCAATTTTTGACAATTTATACATTCGTTTGATCAAATATTAATTTCTTTGTGCATTTTTGGCCAATAGTACTTTTTAATAATTAGACGACGTGTAGCTTTTGTACCAGGATGTGTAATGCCATGTAGCATATTAAACACTGTCTTGCGTAAACAATTTGGAACAAATGGCCTAGGATTCTCACCTGTCATTTCACACCAAATATTAAAATTTAAAAGTGGAATTTGAATTAATTTAAGGTTATGTGATGTGTCTCCAGATTTTAATGTGTTTAGTTCCTCGTCCTGTTCTCGTTCATTTTGTAAAGCTTTGAAATTCAGTTCTGTACCCTTAATTGCATCAACTTCGAAAGCTCGAGATAATGTGTCAGCTATAATGTTCTCCTGTCCTTTAATATATCGTATGTCATTAGTAAATTGTGCAATGAATTCCATATGTCTAGTTTGTCTCGGACTACGTTCGGTTTTTGAACTCAAAGCATATATCAAAGGCTTGTGATCCGTAAAAACTGTAAATTGTCGTCCTTCTAAAAGATAGCGAAAATGTTTAATGTTCAAATAAATAGCTAGCAACTCCCTGTCAAATGCACTGTACTTAACNTATATCGTAGTCATATATCGTATTGTGCAATGAATTCCATATGTCTAGTTTGTCTCGGACTACGTTCGGTTTTTGAACTCAAAGCATATATCAAAGGCTTGTGATCCGTAAAAACTGTAAATTGTCGTCCTTCTAAAAGATAGCGAAAATGTTTAATGTTCAAATAAATAGCTAGCAACTCCCTGTCAAATGCACTGTACTTAACCTCGGATGGAGAAAGTTTCTTAGAAAAGAAAGCTAGTGGCTCTGATTTGTTATCAAACGTTTGATGTATGACACCACCAATTGCCGTATTAGATGCATCCACATTTAAAGAGAGTTTGGCATCTTTGTTAAAATGATTTAACAATATCGTAGACGCAAACTTTTCTTTAATACATTCAAAGGCTTTATTTGTTGTGTCATCCCAAATTAAGGACTTGTCACGTTTCTTAGTTGTTCGATTGATTAAATCGTAGATAACTGCCGTAAACTCAGCTAATTTTGGTACATATCGATGGTAATAATTAACCATGCCTATAAATTTCTGCGCCTGTTTAATAGATTTAGGACGTTCAAAACTACGAATAGCTATCACTTTTTCATCAGAGGGTCTAATTCCTGCCCCAGAAATATTATGTCCTAAAAAGTCAACACTTGTTACACCGAAAGTACATTTACTTGGTTTGATATTTAACCCGTACTCTGTTAGGCGTTGGAAAAGTATACGGAGATCTTTAAAATGCTGTTCTTCATTTTCACTTGCAACCAATAGATCATCAATATATGTAAAAACAAAATCTAAACCACTAACTACTTCATTAATAAATCTTTGAAAAGTTTGCGCTGAATTTCTTAGTCCGAAAGGCATTCGTATAAATTCAAACATACCGAAAGGTGTCGTTATTGCAGTTTTATAGATATCCTCTTCTGCCATTGGAATTTGGTGGTAGGCCCTTACCAAATCTAATTTCGAAAATATATACTTATTTCTGAGATTCATGTTAAAATCTTGAATATGAGGTAAAGGATAACGGTCCGGTACAGTCACAACATTAAGTCTCCGAAAATCACCACAAGGACGCCAGTCATTCAGTTCTTTTTTAGGTACAAGATGCAGTGGAGATGCTACACAAGAATTTGAAGGTCTACAAATCCCTGTCCTCACTAAAAAATCGAATTCAGTTTTGGCTACTTTAAATTTAATCGGATCCAAGCGCCTTGGCTTAGAGAATGGCAGATTTCCTTCAGTAAAAAGTCTGTGAACCGTAGAATGTTTAACCGGTTTCGAATAATCTGGTTCAGCGATCAAAGAAGGAAACTCCTTCAACAATCTTGTATACTTGTTCTCTACTACGAAAATTTTTGGAAGCGAAATGTTACAAACACATGAAACTGTGTTAACCGAAAGACTTGTTACTGGATCAACTAAACGTTTGCATTTCATGTCAATTAAGAGACCGTATTTGCAAAGAAAATCTGCACCAATAATAGGTTTCGCAATATCAGCTATGAGAAACGTAAATGGGAACTCGCGTCTTAAACCTAAATTTATATTTAAAATCTTTTTACCATACGTTGAAATCGTTGAACCATTGGCTGCAGTAAGTATTATATCTGAAGAACGTTTTGTATGAGGGAATTTTTTTACCGGAAGTATAGAAATTTCTGCTCCACTATCAATCAACAAATTTAGTTTGTTTGTTTTATCAAAAATAAATAGGCGACGTGTGGTAATATCTAAATTTCCATTGTTTGCCGCCACAACAACGGATGACTCTAGTTTAACGAATTTTTGTTTTTAGAAAAAGCACAAGGCTGTTGACATTTCTGAGCCTTATCACCAAATTTGTAATGGTATCTACATAACCAATTTTGACTATCACGAGATTTTGATCTACCTCTATATGGACTTCTAAAACAATTCCTATTATATGATCTATATCTAGAATTTTGATTAATTTGTTGCTTAATAGAATTTAATTCAAAGGAAAGTTTTTGAAAATTTTCGCACATAAGATTCGTCGTTTTAACTAAATTCTCAATAATTGTGTCTTGTGATTTAGAATTTTGAAAACTATTCATAGCTGATATTTCGGTTTTATTAATCACTTCCCAAATATTATCAGCTAGTTTCACCAATTCATTTATATCATTGGTACTTGAACTAGCTAATATCACACTAAGATTTTTTGGCAATTTTCTCAGCCAAAGTTTCTTTAAAATATCTTGACTAAAATTAGAACCTGCAAGCAACATGAGCGACCGATAAAATTCAGAGGGTTTACGATCACCCATCTCTGAATCTGACAACATTTTATCTAATTTCTTATTTTCGCTTAAAGAATGTCTTTCAATTAAGACTTTCTTTAATTCTGAAAACTTGTTGTTATGCGGAGGATTTTGAATGAAATCTAATATTGTAACTATTACTTCTTGCGGAAGCGCTGTGATTGTGTGTTCATATTTTGTAGTATCTTGTGTAATGTTTTTCATGTTAAATTGCATTTCTGTATGCACAAACCAAGCTTCTGGACAACTTGTCCAAAATTGTGGAAGCTTCACTGAGGTTGCATACACCTCATTATTATTTTGACTAGCATAAGGATTTGCCAACTCCTCTTGAAAAGAGTTGTTTTGCAAATCTATAAGCGAGTCATTTAAATTATTAGTCCGTGTAGATGTGTGTGTATCATGTGGGGGTGAACGAAACATTATGATAACTTCGCCCAAAAAAATCTCTATAAGGAGTGTTTACAATTAAAAATTAAAATATATATAATACTAAATATAAAAATATATTTATCAAAAATATTACATAAAAAGAAACAGCTCACGGTGCTCTGCAACTGCTGATATTGACAGCACAGTCAACGTGATTGTTGCTGCGTTGTCGTTGCTATTGCTTCTTACCGTTCTTGTTGTTGCCAGTGGTAGGAGCTTTGCTTTTGTATAGTTGATATTTACACTGCTGCTAGTACTGGTTGTTATCACTACTATTATCGGCGGAGTTATCAACTGCGTCTAAAGTTTATGTTCTTCATTTGTTGAGCGTTTTTGTGTTGCTGCTACTGCTACTTCCGTTGCTACTACTGGATGCCAATGCTGACGCTGTTAGTTTTAATTGATGCTGATTGTAGTGGCGTTTGCAATCCCTGCATGCTACGCTAACTTGGACACTGGATGAAGCAACCTCTATTGTAGTTCCGGGAATTTGCCAAAACTGAAGACTTGCATGGCGCGCAGGCCTCTCGTGATGTTTTCAAATCAGCACAGGCACAATTGTGGGTCGCAAAGATATACGTAAACGTATAATGGCTTGAGGTGCTCCTGGCAGGATCGCCAAAACTGTAGTTGATTCCAAAGATTTTTTTTTTAATATTTTTATTAAANAAAACTTAATTTGTTATTATATTGCTAGCAATTCGAGTGAAGTTTGAATAATAATGAAAATTTTCTGTTTGATTGACGAACCACAAAAGTCACATAAATCCAAAATTTCCAAAATTACAAAGTTGAAATGAACACAGTACAATAAAAGGTAATAACACAAATACAAACCCTACACCAGGGTACCGTGATATGTACATAAAGAGAAAAATTACCAACAAAAAGTAAATAATCTTCAAAGTTTCTTCAAATAATTTCAAGTTGTCTTTACAGAAAATAACACGCGAAGTGAATCACGTGGCAGAGTTACTGTCGGACTGTATACTGTAAAGTGATTTATTATAATACGATATTGATTAACTACATATTTCAAAAGGAGTGATAACATAAAAATTAATATTTAAATTCATCTACATATATATGTATGTCGTTTTAATCAAAAAGGTTTGAGTTATTTTACTATTTCGATTTCAGTATTTCAATGATATGTTTGAGACTAAGTGGAGAATCACACTGTAGTTCAAGATGAGAACTAGACCTTGAGGTACTGTTGATAAACAATGTTGGAGATTTCAGAAGTAACTTAGTTCTCATCTTAACCTCACATTGAATTCAAATCGAAATGTTTTTTGGGTTTATATCAAGTTGCTTTCTTGTTTGTCCAGATTTCAGTAAAAACTTGCAGTATGGTAAATCTATTTACTACAATAAAAGCTTGCTATACAAAGTTTCAACTAAGGCACACTGCGCTTGCCGTTGAGTGCAATTACACTTAGGTCTCTTTTTATGCGGTACATGCGTTCCTCAGAAAGCCGAATAAAAAAAATCCGCATAAAAAAGTTCTTTACATTCATACATAACAGGGGATACGTTCCAACATTTTCAAATACCGCATAAATTCAGATACTCCATGTAAAAAAATTCTAAAAAACCGCATCAAAAATCCAGTGAGGCATTATTGAGCAAAAAAACTATTTATTTCTTCACTTCAATACTTTTTATTCCATGTAAAACCGAACATTAATGAAATAAATAAAATTTTATCTTTATTTTAAACAAAAAAATAATATAAAAATACCACAATAAATACATGAATTATGTAAGAATATATAAAAAAAATTAGAAAAAAATGTTTTTTCTTAACAGCGGTCGCCCCTCCGCAGGCAATGGCAAACCTCCGAGTGTATTTCTGCCATGAAAAACAGCTTCTCGTAAAAATACAATCGCCGTTCGGAGTCGGCGTAAAACTCCCCTTTTTGTGACAACATCAAGGCGCACACCACAAATTGGAGGAGAAGCTCGGCCAAACACTAACATATGTGTAAGCGCTAGAGGTGTCAAACTATCGATAGTCACACCATCGATAGTTTTGATAGTTTTCAGAAAAACTATCAATATTAGCGATAGTCTCGAAAAAAACAAAACTATCGAATGCACTATCGATAGCGCTATCCACTGATTGAATCTCAACCGGTATGGGACCACCTCTGAGACTCTACCTTTCCGATGCAAAAAGAATTATCAAAATCGGTTGACGTGGTCCAAAGTTATGTGGTAACATACATAAAAAAATAAAAAAAATATTCCAACGAACTGATAACCTCCTCCTTTTTTGGAAGTCGGTTAAAAATACCGCGTATTTGGTAATTGGTAATTTTGGTACATCAGGATGTCAAAACGAAAGAAAATAGGAGATAATTTTCGCAAATTCGTGTTGTTGACATCCTAAAGTTACGCTATTTCGTCTTGGATGACTAGTACTAGAACTAGCGTAGATAAAACAATTAAGAAAGTCTAAGTTCGGACGCAGCCGATCATTAAATATCCGGCGCACGTATGAAAAATAGTTTTTACCTTTCCAAAAACTACCGTTACCTATATGGTAAGCAGGGTGGTTTTACCCCTATTTCAAACAATTTCGATAGTATGGTCAGATAGACTGTATGAGATAAAATTATATAGTTATAAGTGGGCGGTATCACGCCCATTTCCCAAAATTCCATGAAAATATTACACATTTTCAAGGGATTGTTGTGAAAACCAATTTTTATTTATTCATTTACAGTCTACAACAATGATGGGCAAAACGCTACTCGCGAGTAGCGTCTGCGTCGCAGCGCTTATACGTATACAGAAACGACGCAGCGAATTTCACTTCAGTCTGCTTTCAGTTTTCATGAGAGTAACACCACGCTTCGCCGTTGAATATTTTTATTCGTAATTTTAGCGCGTTGTTGCCACCTATATATGTAACAATGCCCAAAATGGCTGCGTATGAGTGCCAATTATAGTTTTTGGTTTTAAGAAAAGCCAATAATGCCCAATGCTTGTTACGTGGTAATGCGACTACTTGGAATCGTACTTTTAATATAAGGCAACATTATTTGTCATGGTAAAAAACTCAAACTGCCGAACTGTGTAAACCAATTTAAAGTGTTTTGTAATGGGTTTTATGTATATATGTATGTACGATACGGCAATTTAATNTATTCACGAAAACCATGACAAAATGAGACTGTATTGGTGTGCCCATCTATGGTCTACAGTGTTGCCAGAACTTTTTGGACGAACCGGCTAAATTGGCAAATAA